TGCTCATCACATTTGTCAACTTCTCGAGCAACCCAAAATCAAGGAAATGCGCCATTAAGTGGGGAGTGTTGGATGTAAGCTTTTCTTCGAGGGGTTTACTTTTATCGCCTCATGATTCCATCGAGTCACCAGAAAGCGAAGTATCCTAATCTTGATGGCTACCCATAATCGAATCTGCGGTGATATACGGCACAGTAGTCTTATGAATTCATCCGAGTAGGTTCATTTTATCGGACTAAGCAGTCGGCACAGTGATTTATTGTTCTGTGATACGATTTACAGAGTAATTACTCGCTTAACAATGCGTTCAATTTTTAAACAACTTCGTTGCTCAATAAATGCTGGGCGATGGGGAGGAGGGGGGTTGAGGTTGGAGTAACAAATGTTTACTGGCAAGACTATCAGCATCACATCGACTCATCCATATCCTCGGTCATACCAGAAGCCTCGCCAGTGGATGTAAGGCTTCGTTTCGACGCTTTTTTTGCAGCTGTCAACTCCCGATAACCTAGGAAAGATGTGAACCATGATTTTGTCACAACTTCCTAATCTGCATATATGTAGGAACAACGGGTAATCAAGTGCTTGTTTCGATGTTTTTCACAACTTTGATAAGACACACAATAAGCGTTAAGGCTAGCCATCAGGATCAGTGATTAGAGAAGGTACATTTCTCTTGAGTATGATGCATTTACGGCAGAATGGTTTGCTACTGCAGTCAAACTCAGTTTTGTAACCACTTTTGCAATTTTATTTAACTGATACCTTATTGGGAGACAAGACAGCAAATTCTTGAAGTAGGCCCCTCTCAAAAAAGCGTGTATGGATCTATCCACTAGCTATGCACTTCATTCTGTCGTCTTTTCACCCGCTCGGTAAAGTACGAATTCATGAACCAACTAATATGGCTTCTAAAGTTCTAAAAAAATTTAATCTAATAAAAATTAGGAACTACTTAAATAACATTTCAGTAGGCTCACATGTCGGCACATGTCGGTCACATGTACGGGTAAAATAAAAGCAAAAACCAGCTTACTTTCAAGGAATTGAAGTAGGGGTGACTCAAAGTGTCCAAATTGCATGTCCCGCAGAGCGCCAATGACATCAGAAGCCGCAAGGGTCTTACGTTTGCCTGCCTCGCAGTGTATACTGGCCATGGAAGTGACGCAGAGAACGAAGGAACTCGCTGCTTTACTCAGTGCGGATCGAGCCTCACGTGACACCATGATGGAGGAATCCTCCGGGAACTGGTGAATAAAAGGGTAACCAGTCCAGTCAATTAAC